GCTGAACCACTCCTACAACATATTGTGAGTCAGAGACTATATTTAAAGGTCCTGGAAAGAGTGTAAGTGCTCGGATTACTGATGATAATTCTACAAGTTGAGGTTACCAATTTACGTGATGTATATCTTGTTGCCACTCATTATCTTTCTGCCACACTACAACTGCATTTCCCGTCTTCCCTGAACCATCTGTAAAGACAGTTTGTGCATCTGTCAAGGGAATAGAGGAGCAGTGTGTTCTCAACTTCAAAGGAAAGTTGTTTAAGCGCTGTAAAAAGGAACAAGCAGGTAAGTGAATACTTAGCTGACCTGTAAAATCACTTAAGGCAGTTTGAAATTCAAAACTGGCCTTTTCTAACCATTTTAAATGCTCTGTTGTCATTGGCAAATACACAGTACTTGGGTAACATCCTGCAAGTTCCCAACATCTAATGCGGTCTCTCTGAAATATGCGAGAAATCCTTTCTGGCTGAGTTGTTACTGTTTTAGAAAACTGATGAACTAGAAAAACCCATTCCCATAAACGAAACTGAGTGTTATTCTTATATAATGGGCCTATGAGACCAAAGGCTTGAGCAGGTCCCTTTAAGATAATTAATATTACTGACTCATTTAAGAGACGACGACTGACCTGGCAGGAATTGAGTTTTTGCTCCACAGTATGTAAAGCAGCAACAGCTTCTGGTGTTAGCTGTCTGGGCGAGGTTAATTCTGGATCTCCCTTAAGCAGGCAAAACAGTGGACGGAGTTCATCAGTGGAAACACCCAAAATAGGTCTTAGTCAGTTGATAGCTCCCAGTAGTCTTTGCAAATCATTGAGGGTTTGCACTGAGGTTGACAGAGAAACATGTTGGGAATGAATGGCTGTTTGGGTTATTTTCCATCCCAAGTAATGCCAAGGAGATTCCTGCTGGACTTTTTCTGGTGATACTTGAAGCCCATAAGTGTTGACAGCTTCAATTGTTGTTTTGAGGGCTCTTTGCATTAGTTCCTTATCAGTTGCACAGATCAGAATGTCATCCATGTAGTGGTAAATGCAGACTTCTGGGTATTGCTGATGTACAGGTGACAATGCAATGGACACGTACAGTTGACACAAAACTGGACTGTTTTTCATCCCTTGAGGTAGAACCTTCCAGTGATAGCGAGCATGCGGTTCACTGGCATTGATAGATGGTACTGAAAAAGCAAACCTCCTTGCATCTCTGGGGTGTAAAGGAATGGAGAAAAAACAGTCCTTTAGGTCGATTATAGTAAGTGGCCAGTTTTGGGGCAGCACTGATGGCGAAGGCAGGCCTGGTTGGACAGCCCCCATAGGTTCGTGCAATAGAAGCCACTTGCCACTTCTTTTTTGGATCACAAACACTGGGGAATTCCAGGGACTGGTAGAAGCACAAATATGTCCTGCTAAAAGTTGTTCTTGAATGAGGGCTTGATGTTGCAACTTGTCCTTTCTAATAGGCCACTGATCCACCCAAACCAGCTTATCTGTCATACAGGTTAGGGCAGGGACCAGCTACTGTTCAGTGGCCATTAGGACAAATTTGTAGTAAGACCAAGTCCCCATTGTCCCAAAGCATCTTGGCCCCACAATGTGATTGGCAGGTCCAAAACAAAGGGACGAACCATGGCTGAATGATTTCAGGGCCTGTGATCACAACAGGATGCAGGTTTTGTTTTGGTGCTGTAACTCCTGCCACTCCCCTCAGTGCTTTCTCTGGCTCCATGAGTGCCCAGAAAGGTGGCCAATCTCGAATAGAGATGACAGTCACATCGGCACCTGTGTCTGCCAAGCCTCTTAGGTGAATTTTCCAGTGAGGGGCTGCTCCTGGGCTGCTCCTGGTCCTTTTAGGCATTGTTGAACACAGGAGGTCTCAGTGACTACTATTTCTACCGACAGGATTTGTTGATCTATAGGGAGTTGGGCTGTTTCTCCCTCCAAAAGGTGCATCACTCCAGTTGGAGGAAGAGCATTGGAGAATACACTTGGTGTTGGAAGTCCTATCATCTGAATACTTTCATCTGAATGAATACGAAATTGAGAACAAATCCAACAATTACTAATATTTGTTATCAGTGTTACGGTTTGCACTAGTTTTAGATGTGAATTTTTATTCCAAGGGTCAGGTAGTATTTGTTCTATTTGTGTCATGTTACAGTGGTCTTTAGGGAAAAGGACATTGCTCCCTTTCCCTAAAGACCACTTACACCTCAGACACTTGAAACCATACTTGCCATTACAATCGTTAGTTGCAAGGCCTTGCTAGGATGGTTGACTAATCCAGGAACAAATAACCATGTTGTAATACTGGAAATATTGTTCTGTAAACACAAAAAGATAAACCATTTAACATCTTTCATTTTAAAGTCTCTGGTTCCATTGCAACTTTATCTGCAGCATATTTACTGTTTGCTATACTGTCCAGTAAGGTTCTTCTGGGTTCGAAGTTGGCTTGATTCAGCTGTAGTGGATCCATGAATCTACTCCATGCATCTTCACAGCAGTATTGACAGTTAGCAACACTTGATATGGTCCCTTCCACCTTTCTTGGAGAGGTTCTTCAATCCAGTTGTTGGGGTATACCCAGTCTCTGGGTTGGTATGGATGGGGGCAACATCCAGCGGCGTGGGTGCTGCCATCACAACATATCTGTGGAGAGAAGACAACACCTTCCCTAGAGATACAACGTATCCTGTTAGACTTTGATCCCCACCAATTTGGATATTCCCTTTGCTTTCTGTAACCTGATATGGTCGCCCATACAATATTTCATATGGACTCACCTTTTCCTTGGATGTAGGTCTAATTCGTACCCTCAGTAAGGCCAAAGGAAGGGCATCTGGCCATTTTAAATATGATTCCTGGCAAATCTTGCTAATTTGTCTTTTTATACTCTGATTCATTCTTTCTACTTTCCCCTTGACTGAGGTCTCCATGGAGTATGCAAGTCCCATTTCACCCCTAATGTTTTAGCTGGGCTTTGCACTATTTTCAGCAATGAAGTGTGAACCTCTGTCTGATGACATTCCCACTGGCATTTCAAACCTTGGGATAATTTCTTTCAATAAAATCTTTACCACCTCCCTAGCTTTGTTGGTGCAACAAGGAAAAGCTTCTGGTCATCCTGAAAAAGTATCTACCAGTGCCAATAAACACCTGTACCTATTTTGCTGTGGAAGCTCTGCAAAGTCTATTTGCCAATAGTCTCCTGGTCAATTTCCTTTCCCAACAGTCCTGGACGTAGGCCATCTAATTTGATGTGTATTGTTCTTTAAACAGGTTTGGCACTTTCTAACAATGCTTTTAATGATACCAGTCATTCGTACACTCAAAACTTGAGGTTTCAGTGCTTCTACCATGATGATTTTTTTTTATTTTTAACCACAATGTGACAAGAGCTTCCCATAGCCTACCTTCCTATGGGAGATACAAATATTAAATACTACAAGAATTCCTGGCTCAATTAACTCTCTTTTCATTGCCTTCCCTTTATTTCCCTCCAGACCTGGCACAAACAAACAGGCTTGTATTACAAAAGTAATTTTCAAACAGTTCCAAGGGAAAGTCTGCTGATATGAACTTGTGGAAATGGAAAGAACTAGAGAGGTCTACAATTCTTCATTTGACAATTCATTTGTACATGGAAGGTCAATCTTTTTTGGGTACTGACATGCAAAAATAACTTGAATACCACCACCTAAAAAGTGCTGATACAAATGATGCATTTGAGAGAATTCAGGTACTTATAGGATTTCCATTAGTACTAGGTAGAGATATTGTGCAAATCCTCAAATGATCCAATTTCACCTCACTTTTCAGCTGCTGGCACTGTACAAAGGGAAAAATAGGTATTAGTTACTTTTTTTTAAGCATCAGAGCTACTTAAACTATCTGCAAACTACAGTTAATGTACATGTAAACCAGTCATGCATCAAAAGCCAAATTTTAACAATATGTGAAATGCATTTCTTTAGATGGATCCCTGAATTTTGACACTTAACCTATCCATATGCAGATGTCAGATTGTACCTTTATTCTGACAGCATTATCACACCATAACACATACTGTATATCTATCTGCATTATTCTAAGATACAACTCTCCTCAGTACTTAAACATTACTCTTTATTACACATCAACCAATGTATTTTTTGTTCCTTTTTACCTCTTTTTTGGTGGTTTTTTTTTAATTACAGAGAAATTACAGAGAAATGATGGTATTGAAATAAACATAAATTCCAGATATTTTACAAGGAGGATGGAATGCCCAGCTGTATGTTCACTCTAACAGCTCCTGCAGTTCCTGTTTGAAGGATATGACACATGCTGTGAAATGCACCAGCCACCAAAAAAAAAAAAGCCTCAAAATACTTAAAAAATATACACACACTCAAAGTAATTTATATTGACAAATAAGGAATGTTGTTTGTTAAGGCTGTGCTTCAGAGAGAGGATGTTTAGGGTTAAGTAGCCTTCATCAAGGCACAGAATGGGAAGAGGTAAGCACAGCTATCTGTAGAAGTTATATAAAACCACTAGTGAGGTATGCATGCAGCAACACAATTTAAAAGTGCACAACTGGTCTTTGTAACAAAACTGAACATAGTTAAAAGGAAATACTGTGACTTTTCAATTGCCACAGTTTTGCTTCATTATTAAAAACATGGCAAATATTTCCAAACATAAAATTCACAATTTGAATAAATGAAATTTTAAACAAAGTGCTTCGCAGATCTGAACCCTGCACGGTTGTACTGTCTGACCTAGAAGCATTATCTGAACCCTGCACGGTTGTACTGTCTGACCTAGAAGCATTTCGTAGACATCATAGGAGCATTTCACACAAAACTGAAAATATAATTCAGATGAATAATAAACAGGACATTTCTAACAGTTTTACGCTTTCAAGTAGTCGAGTTCTTACGGCCACTGGGTTTTGTAGCAAATGTGTCCTACAGAAGTACAGGTTCATAGATTCCGTTAGCAGCAGAGTCCCATTTCAAAGGGCACGTGGTCTTTTTGGGTTGATCTGTTTACTGGCCTGTTCCTCCTCTTGTAGAGCTGCCCGGAAAGATTTCACTTTATCTTTAATGAAAAAGAGAGAATGAGTACTGATGTACCTGTGCTTAACATAGATCCTGAAACTAAGGCCTGATGCCCCACATATTGACCTTAATGCAAAACAAAGAACATTCCTCCACAAAAAGAGCTGAAGATACAGACTACAAGAGGACTGAGATAAGCTTAAATTAAATACTCATCATACAAACAAGTTGCTTAGCAACTTAGTCCCTTCTTAGATACTATCCCTGTCTCTTCTTAGGAAGAAATTCTTCTCTGTGAGGGTGGTGAGGCACTGGAACAGGTTGTCCAGAGAAACTGTGGCTGCCTCATCCCTGGAAGTGTTCAAGGCCAGGTTGGATGGGACTTGGAGCAACCTGGTCTAGTGGAAGGTGTCCCTGTCTGTGGCAGGGGGTTGGAATGAGATGATCTTTAAGGTCCCTTCCAACCCAAACCATTCTGTAATTCTATGATAACAACTTTTCTATGAATGTGAAAAGCATTTGTGATTAAATTTGGGAAGTAAATAGATAAATGCATCAATCATTTGTTTCATCATAGCTAGTACGAGAATGGAAGAAACCCGAGAAAAGAAGTATGTCATTCTTTCATATTTGTATTCCTCCTCCACTCCCATTCCCCAGTAATATGCCCAAGAATGAGAAGGAAACAAAAATGACAGCATAAAAAAGTCAGTCCAAAAGTGACAGGAATAAAAGCTGAAATATTCAGTGACCATTATGTGCCATGAGCATAACACAAAAGTTACTGTGAGAAAGAATCTTTGATTTAACAGTTCTTCCCTACTGTAAAGCTATACATGTATCATGTTGTCTGTAAAGATGCAAAGATCTTTCAGATATCCTTTATCTCCAGTATCTTATTTCAAAAACCATATCTAATAAGTTATGGAAGAACAGGGAGTCACCTAAACTATTTTTTCACTGCTGTTGTCTCAAATTGTCTTTCCCTGAAGAGGAAACCATCATCCCTAAGAAGCAAAGGAATGTACATCTAATTATTTGCTAAAGTATACTGGTGCCAATACATGCGTACAAAGCAAGCAGGTCACATCCAATTTGCTTGATGTATTCTTCTAAATTATAGCAGATACTCAATCTGAGTAAAATGTAGGGTTTTATCTTATAAGGAGTTTTCTAACACAGATAAAAAACCCAAACCAGTATTGCATGTCTGCTGGAATGCAGAGAGATACAGAAACTAAAACGAAAAATTAATCTCCATGAGGTACCAAGCTGACATGCTGATTTTAGAAGACAAGTGGAAGAGTCAGTTTTGGGAACTAAGAATTATCTACTGTTGGTTTTTCAACAGAGGCTGAAAAAATTTCAACAGAAAACCTGCTAAGGAAAAATAGACTAACAGCCAAGCTACTCAGAACTTGATGTTACTCTTAAGCACAGACTGAAAAACAACAGCAGGCTCCCTGCTACATTACAGAGTGCAATAGAACAGGAACTGGGAATTCCTACTACTTTTTCCTCATTGCATTACTTTTTTTTTTTTCTGTACAGTTCTTTTGGATTTTCTTTTTCCTTCCTTTATTCTTTTGGAACAAAGAAAAAAACAACCCAAAGTTGCAGGATCAAGTTTATACTTCCTGGAAGTAAAGCAGACTCTTCCTTTAAACTAGGATGGATTGAATACAGATGTGAACTTGTTCTTAGGCAGCAGAATAAATGTTCCTTTCACAGAACATCACAGGACAGCATAAGGTGAAAAAAGACCCCAAAACATAACCACACTCTTTTTTCCTTCTCATTATTACTGCAAGTCTCCATGGCATATGAAAATGCACACAAAAGTGATTAAAAGCAATCTACCTCTAAGTTCGGTCAGAATATCAATTTTTTGCTCTAGAATTGCTTCAAGTTGGGTAGCATAAGAATCCACATCATAGTCTACTTCTTCTGTCATTTCAAGAAGAGCTTTTTCATCTTCCAGCCATCTAATAGATTCCTAGGTAAAAGTTAAAAAAACCTCAACTAAATACATTAGCAAAGTTTCAAGGTAAATTTCAAGACAAAGAGTTGAATTACTCCTTTTCTCAAGATGACCACACTTTTACTGTCTAGTCACCTCACTATAACAGGTTTCAATCCTAAAATGAATCCTTATTCCTAATTCAGAAAATTTTATGTTTTCTACATAGTTTCTTAACTCCAGTGGTCATAACAGCAACAGATAAACCCCATCTGCCACAGTTCTCTTCAAATTCAGAACTTAGATGGTTGTAAAACTAAGAAATTAAGAACTTTATGTCATGGTTATGTACGCTTGTGTAGGTATCAAACTTTGAACCCAGACTTCAGTTTTAAGTATGGGATGGTTACCACTGAATATAATCACAGTGTCATTATTACAGTCAAGGAGCCAAAATAATTCTGTCCATACTCAAAACCAGTTTTGAGAGAAGGTGTATAAAAGAAGAGTTTTTTTAATCTCTCTATTGCAAGAACTAACTCCCCAGACAGAGTACTGTAAAAGACGGTTAACAGATCTCTTAGGCATCTTTGCACTCTGAATATTACAAATTAAAAAAAAGAGGGAAAAAAAGAGAAAAGAAAAAAACCTTGCAGCAAAGAAGAATGCAACCAGGAACTTAAAGCTTACAGAATCATGCAAAGCTCTGATCAGGAGAACCGATCCCATTGGAAGTGCTTTGATTAAAAATAAAGTAAGCAACTGACAAGAAACAAAGGAAGATCAAGACCTCTATAGTACAATTCATTCATCTAATCTATTTTAGAGATTTTTGTTAGGATAGGATGGTTTGTATCCCAGAATCAACAGCTTCCAGGAAAAAGCTGACAGAAGACAACTTCTGCATGTTACAGCTTGTAGATTTTGTATTGGTGCAGGTCATCTTCACCCATGGCATAAACTAACAAGTAATGCTGCAAATGAAGGTAGCTGAGACTCAGACACATTTCCTTCTGATGACTGCTGTGAGGAGCAGTAATCTCCAGCATAAGGCCAGATGGACACACAGAAGCAGTAACATCTTAAACTAATGCAGTTTGTCTCTCCAGAAGTTGCAAGCATTAGGACACAGTTATGGCATACAGCATAAGACTTTCACACTTCTGCATGCTTTACTTCAGGGATAATGTTTCACAATAACTAAATCTCTACATCTGTTGTAAAATGTGTTATTTTGCATCCTACTGTATTACATGAACACACATCAATGTTCCACTAAGTTAGATACCTAAATTGAGGAGGTGTGTATTCCCTATAGGTTTAATGTTTTGCTATTTTCTTGCAGCAGATGCTCCAAATGGACAGCCTGTCTAAAGATTATAAGGTTATTAACAGAAGCAATTCACATTTCCTTCTGAAAAGTAGTAACTCATATATATATTATTACCATTTATTTTGTGAATGTAAAAGGCTCCATGGTACTGACCAGCATTACACTATGTAGTCAGTACTCCTTTCAGCGACCCTGACTAATAGCAAGTGAAAACCTTATGTATCTGTAAAAAGGAAGCAAACAGGCAGTTAGAAATATATTTGTTTCTTCTGGATCTCAGTATCTCAGAGGAAGATGTCATGAAAGGATATTTAGAGAAAATACTTGGAGGGAGTATTGCCGTACCTTAGAGGGAGATGACCACACAGAAATGATGCTGATAGAGACATTACTATATAGACACATTACTATTAATTGCCAGCTTTGGCATAGGAATACTGGCATAGATTAGACAGTGAAATTGAAAATTTTGAGATCAATCTGAGTAAACTCCCCACAACTAGAAAAAACAGTCACTAATGCTGGAAAACGACTATCACAGAAAATATAGTAAATAGTTGAAATAGTAAAAAGAAAATAGCAACTTTTCTTGCAATGAACACAGTCTATTTAGGAACATTTGTTGAGAAGAAAAGGAAAATTTCACTAAATTTCTGGGGTGGTAGGAAAATATGCTTCTCTTTCATCATGGGGACAAAGAATAATGGTTATGGGATCTAAACATCTGTTCCTATTTCTTTGCTACAATGGGTTTAGTGTAATAAAACAATTTAGAAAGCTCTGACAGCAGCAAAATGACCAGATGATATCCTACATCTTCAAGAGTATGCACTTTCATTGGGAAAACCTGAATTCCTGGATTAGGATAAAACAAAGAAGAGCTCCATCTTTTACCTGGAAGATAGCCCTGTGATCTTCTAATACTTGCTCTTCCATTTCCACCATTTGTGACACAGCTTCATGGAAAGTAAACAACTGTGGAGAAACTTCCTCTTCCTAAAAGCAATAGTTAAGTTTGTTAGTCTGGAAAGAACTGTGACTACAGGAAATATATTGAATATGATCCATCCCATCACAGAACATGAAAAGAAATATGCAGAAAACAGAACCTGTCAAAAATAAAACAATACTTTAAACAAGAAAATCTCCAGAAATGAGCGGAGAGAGCAATAAATTTAAACTGTTCACAGAGTTAAATTTAATTATTAATCATTACAAATTTCCAGCCACTAACACTAGTGGATACTGGAAAACAGAATATTCCCCATGGAAAAAAAAAACAAGTTAAAATAGTGGGAGGAAGAGGTCACAAGGGAAGAATGTTAATTTCTAGTAGGTTTTAATAAGAAAACTTGTTTTCTGTCTGGGCTTTTTGTTGTGCCAATTTTCAAAAAAGAGAACAGCAATTACATTCAATACATTTCAGGAAATCAAAATTAAATTAACCCTTTGGAAAAAAAGTGGAACAAATATAAAGTGAAAAATCTAAAAAGTATGTAGTGATTAATACATTAGAAGAATGCACAACATGGATTTACAAATTGGGACAAACAGGAATTCTTTAGTTAATCACAATCAAAGGGGAAAGCACTAGGTAGGCTGCAAGACAATATGGTTCTTTATAATATGCCTTTAAAATCTTTTAAAAAACACATTGAACAAGACAGTTACTAAAATAAGAAATACAGCAAACACCATGAAGAGGTGTTTGAAAAGGCAGAGAGTCTTGAGAAAAATAAGTTAGGGTTGTAAGGATTTATCTTTTCTACCTTTCATCAGCATTTTCACAAATGAAGTTGAACATTTAAGGAACCAGGACTAGAGTTGATAATCAGTATGGAGGGCAAAAATGCCCTTTAGAAAATGCCTCTCAGTCCCAGATCTCCACTTATGCAGCCCGGGGAGACATCCTGGGAACATGATGTGGCTTTCTCCTGAACATTTCTCTGGTGTTTCACTACATGAAAATCAAGATGTGGGGAAGAGGAATGATGGGTAACCAGATTTCTAAACATGGAGAAGGGCAAACTCACTCAAAACAGGTGTTCCATGCAGGAAAAATAATGGTCAAAACCATGGGAGTGTTAAATAAAACAGATGCATTTCTCAGGCTACTTCTAACTATCTAATAACAGATGAAGCTATACTGGAAAAACGCACACTAAAAATGTGAGAACCTAGAGCAAACCCTGCCTAGATATTAAAAGCCCTAATCAGCAAGGAAGGTAAAGAAAAGTAAAACATTCTCCTCTCAGCATTCAAGAAACCTTTTTTGTGTGTGTATGGGAATGGACATAATACCATAAAACGAAGAGGTGAGGAAGCATGCTGTATCTACTTAATGATATTGTTAACAGGCTATAAATACACATTACTCTGTATTTGTTCTGCCACTGTATTTATCATCTCTTTCCATGTAATGCTGTAAACCACTCACGTTTTGTTCACAAAGCAGTTTGAGATCATCTCTCTGAGGAGAGCTCCCCACACCCCACTGTGCCTCTAAGTCATCAATCTGATTGGGAGCATGGTGTATAATAGGACAAATATCTCCTGAAGCACTAGGATCAACCATCAGCTCCTTCACCCTACATTCAGAAAATATTTAATTCGTAAATTAGTAACTTCCTATGCAAAAGAGTAGCAACCAAAAATAAAGCTCATTTAGGCATAATTTCACAGAATCACAGAATCTGCTGGGTTGGAAAAGACCTCTGAGATCATCAAGTCCAACCCTTGATCCAACCCCACCGTGGTTAATTCATTTAATAAGGATGATGTCAGCTTCACAAATTTAATGTACTTTCAGTGACAAAAAATTGTTAATCCAACTCCTTAAAATCACAGACTTTCAACTACTTACAGGTGGATTACAGTCCATCTTCTAGCAAGAGGCCTTTTTTGATTGAAATCGTACTACTCATTAACTGTTAAGAGGGCAAAAATCTCCAAACCCTCAATATTAACTCCTTAACGACGAATAATATTTGAAAACAAAGTTCATTCAGCATCCTAAACTTGAACATAATTTTTTTTCTGCACACACAATTGTGCTTTAAAAAAAGTAGTCAATCAGTACCCTACTAGCTGTTATAAGCAAATCCAGCAAGAATTCTGAAGAAAATAAGAATTTGCAACCAAGTATCCCAGAGAATGAATAGATCCTTTAATTAAAATGCTTTCAAAGGTGGAAATATCTTATTAAAATGTTAGGTTCTTGCATCATGAAAATAGTTTAAAAGATTGATAATGATTCTATCCAAAAAAAGCCCATTTAAAAGAACATTTATGAAACAGACACATCAAAGTCTGCAAGTATAGCAAGTTTTAGAGTAAATTCTTCATTTTTTAAGGGGAATTTTTTTTTCAAGTAGTACATATTTACTATGATGGAAACTGAATTTCATTCATCTTCAGAATGATGAAAAGTTTAAAAAATATATACATATTAAAATTATTTTCTTTTTTAAGTAGATATATTCAAATTACCCTAAACATAGATTTGTCAGATTTGGTCCACTAAATGTACAAAGGTGACATCACCTTCTTTTTTTTTTTTGTAACGTATGAAGGAAACTAGCAAGCCTGGATACAGTGTGGTTACTGTGAACGAAATAGTGGGAAGATGATTGCAGATCATGCAGAACTATGACCTGACAAACAAAATAAAAACAAAGTATGTGTGATTCAAGGCAAAAGGACTAATGAAAGGTTGGTCTGTGAAATTACATTGCCAAAAAGAAAATTCAAAAATAAAGATTCCATGTATAGAATGAAGTAGACCTGGTGATTGAAGGAGAAAAGTCATCATACTCATAGGAAGGAGAGAGATCAGAGCGACTGACACTACCCTGTGAGAAGGGAATGTCTGAAGGACTAATTCCAAACTCCTTTACTCTGCAGCAGCAAATTAAAAGAAAACATTTTCATAAACAGTTAAAATGACAACTCTGTTTAGCATTCTTCTTTAATAGTTTAACAATAAATTATTTTTACATTAAAAATAAGACTTGACATATTTAAATCTTCTGCAAATAGAGTTACAGATCACTAACAAAATCAGTGCTGGTGATTTGCAGGAGAGTATAATAGCAATGTTTTCAGAAGAGCAATTCCATATTTCGGTTCGTGCAGTTAATAATATTTGCTCTACATTCAGTATTTCATTAAACTGCTCCTTTTAACGTATCAAACCACTACAATGCTTTAAATTCTATACTACCCCGTCTTACACTGTGCACACAGTGGTGTTCAGCACCTAAAAACTAATTGTACTATGAAAATTATATATTGCTAGAAAAAATTAAAATACTACACAAAACACATGAAGCAACTTTACAGTGATAGGCAGAGAAAATTTACTACAGCAAAAACCAGCACAACTCCATAACAACATACAAATTTAACACCAAGGGAAAGAAACTTTCAGCACAACAATGTAGTATACTAGAAATAGGTATTTAATTTGTTTTTCAGTGCCTATTTCTGGAGTAACTTCAGCAATATGTATTCTATAAGGGATAGAAAGATCCAATGAGTCTCAAATAATGTGACACGTCCTTTGTTATGCTACTGTAAGCAGGGAAGTAGATGCCCCCTTCTCAACAGGAAGGAAATCACCTAGACTGGTCCAAGCCAAGTAGATTTGCTACTAACTTCATACAAACAGAAAGACATTTGGATACCGAGAAGAGTGGGTGGTAAGCTACCCGAGCAGCCCTTTGTGCCCAATTAACCACTGATCGTGGAAGGGAGGAGGAAGCAAAGCAGGAGAAGATGTGGTTCTGCCCTATCTTTCACTGGGGCAAGTAGGCCACTAGGTGGTAGCCTCTTCTGGGAAAAAACAGGCTTTCTGATGGCCCAGAAAGCAGTACAGGTCTCAGAGGTGCTGCATCAGCCTCTGGAGGCACTAACTTTTCCACTGATTACGTCACTGTTGGATTAACTGATTCTGTATTTAGGGGTCTCAGATATTTGCCTGAAGTTGGGAAATACAAAATTTAGGCCACAACAACTGCAGAATTTTCATAAGAATAAGCTAGTTTAGATAAACCTATATATGATATGATATGATATATCATATATATAAAAGAAACAGGCTGGCAACTGAATGCAAGTCCACCAAGGGCATGAAAAATCACATTTCAGAAAGGTAATTAAGCTAACACCCCAGGGAATCATAATGTAAACTGCCTACCCCTAATACAAGAGGTGATACCTCCAGAACAGGGACAAAACTAGGAGGCATCTCCCAGATTCCTTGCAATCCACACTATATCTATCTCTGGATAATGGTTTGAATGCAGTTTCTATTGATTCTCTTGTAATGGTTGTAAAAAGTGACAAATTAAATGTGAGCCTGACTCAGTAATCAGTACTTTGGTTTTAATCTTATTAAGAAATGCAAGTATGCTAAAATTATTCAAGTAGTTAAAATAATTATATATCATGGAACAACGATATTCAAAATATCAGTGATCAACAGTCAATATATCTATAAGCAATAACATTTTCCATACCTATTTGCGTATCTCAATGTATTTAGAGTGTTTTCACATGATGCCATCCCTGGAGAAATTGTAGTGATCTGGAGAAAATAAGCCACACATTAATAAATCACTTTGTACAGATGAAAGGGTAGATGATCTCAAATTATTTTTTTATCTCCACTTTCATTTGAGATGTTCTACAAAAACCATCTACTATGTACAGCTGTCCTAATACAATGGCATCTCAAGAAGAGAGATATCAAGTCAAAGCTTCAATTTAATTTTTTCAACCATACCTGAAATATTAGGAATTCATAGAAATTTCAGTCAATTTCCCCCATCTCACAGTCTTTGCAAATAATATGTAAATGCAAAATTCTACTTAAAAAAAGACTCCTCAAGGAAGGAAATATGCAACTCAGTAGAAAGTAAGTCTAATGTATCCTGCAAACAATTATTGATTATTTATATATATATATATATATCTCATTGTGGTCTGTTCAAGTAAACTGTATGTTTATTTGAGAGACCTATTTTGACCGCAGTCTAAAAATGTACTTAATAATATTAAAGATAAGCACATGTTTATTTCCCTAAGTAAAGATTTATATTTTTTCTCTGAACTGTTATCTGTAAATAATACTTAATAGCTTACTTATTATCAAACATCAGGAAACTATAAGTCTTTCCTTTTCCAATTAAATAAAATACCCTGAAGATCTCACCTTCTTTTCAGCACTCAGTAAAAATCATAACTGTCATCAGGCAACAGTGGCATCATTATTTGCACTAGCTTCTCTCAGTAGTTTAATTTTCTCATTTGTGCTCCTTTCAGGAGAGCTATAAAAACTTTACCCAGGACAAACACCTCTATGATCCTATACACTAACATTTTTTTTGGCAGCACAGCATCAGGAGACTGAAACTGATGACTATTAGATAATCCCAGTCTTCTCATTCATCCTGCTGCTGACATTACTGTACAAAAGCACAGGTAGTCATCCTGAGAGGAATTTCTCCTACTGGGAGGAAAGGAAAAATATGTGGTGGGAGGGAGTTAGAAAGTCTAAAGAGTCTGCTACCACATAGACTTAAGTTTACATCTCTAATACTGTTATGCATCAGTTACTAATGAAAAGAAAGTCTAAAGAGTCTGCTACCACGTAGACTTAAGTTTACATCTCTAATACTGTTATGCATCAGTTACTAATGAAAACAAGTGTAGATTTAAAAATATCATATAATTCCATGTCTCTCTATAAAGCATTTTGAGTGCTAATTAACAAAACCCTACAAATCCCTAAAATTCTTCCAAAGACATTTAATGTGAAAGATGCACGCACCTCTTCCATCAGTTTAATGTTCAGAATATATCACACATGGCAAATGTCATAATGTCAGGTGACTGCTCTGACTTTTTGAAGAGTATAAGGTACAGTTGCTATAGGGAAGTGCCACTTTAGGTGCTGTCAGCCATAATGATACCCCCTTCAGGGCACAAGAACCCATGCATAAGACTCAGTCTGCACTACATCATATATCCTCATGCCTCAACAAGTCCAGTCCCAGAAGGACAGGAGGACTACAACCTCTCCATCAATCACTTCCTCATTCATAATTCCAAATGAGGATGGAAAAAGCAACACTATTTATGGACAGGAATATCCTTAAGAACTGTAATTATCATTCTCCATACTTTGAATGTGTCTGCATTGCTTATAAGCCATCACAGTGGGATCAATGGTCCTTTTGGGACACTGAAGTCACCAAGTTCCTACTTCCCCCCCTGGAGAACTGAGAGGTCTGGCACTTCAGCTATGGCTGAAGCATGTCAAGAATGCAGCACGTAGAGGATGCAGTACTGGTTAAAAAATGAGACTATTCTAACTATCTACCTGTGTTGAGTTGACCTTGGCTGGACACCAGGTGCCGATCAAAGCTGCTCTATAACTCCCCTCCTCAACTGGAGAGGGGAGAGAAAATATAATGAAAGGCTCATGAGTTGAGATAAGGGCAGGGAGAGATCACAAACCGATTACCATCACAGGCAAAACAGACTTGACTTGGGGAAATTAATTGAATTTATTACCACTAAAATCAGAGTAGGATAATGAGAAGTAAAACCAAATTTTACTAACACCTTCCCCCCACCCCTGCCTTCTTCCCAGGCTCAACTTTATTCCCGATTCTCTACCTCCTCCCCCCAGTGGTACAAGGAGATGGGGAATGGGGGTTATGGTCAGTTCATCACACATTTCTGCCACTCCTTCCTCCTCAAGGGGAGGACTCCTTCCCCTGCTCCAGCATGGGGTCCCTCCCACAGGACACAGTCCTCTACAAACTTCTCCAATGTGAGTCTTTCCCATGGGCTGCATCTCTTCATGAACTGTTCCAACATGGGTCCCTTTCTACAGGCGGCAGTCCTTCAGGAACAGGCTGCTCCAGCGTGGATCCCCCGTGGGGTCACAGTCTCCTTTGGGTATCCACCTGCTCCAGCATGGGGGTCCTCCGTGGGTGGATCTCTGCATCCCCATTGACCTCCATGGGCTGCAGGGGGACAGCCTGCCTCACCATGGTCTTCACCTCTCCTAGTTAGAACAACTGGGACCGATTCATCATTGGATGGGTGTAGCCCAAAACTGTGTATTCTATAGCCCTCCATGCCATTTCCCAGAAACTGTTGTCAGTAGAGGCCTGTGAGGTGCCCCTCCCCCCATGCTCCTGTCCTCATGCCCTTTTGTGGAATTCCCTGACTGAGTACCCTCACACCCTTTTATGGAATTCCCCACTCTGAGGGGAATTCCCCACTCTTTTATGGATCCAGAGGAGGACTGCAGCTCACCGCTCTCAGCCAGACTGCAGCTCACCGCTCTCAGCCGGACTGAGACCACCACCCTCAACTGAACTGCAATCACCACTTTGACCGGACTGCAGCAGCTCTCCCACCAGCAGGTTTTTTCCCCTCTCCCTTTGCTTTGGACTCGGGGGGGGGCCCAGGGAGCACTGTTTTGTTTGTGCCCTGGGGTACTGAGTTGCACATTTGGGTTTTGTGGGTAAGGGTCGGTTGCTTGTCCATGTGGTCGTACTTATTGTATTATTTTATTAAATTGTTATTCTGATTTGTAATCTCTCTTTTGAGTTGGGTTGGTTTCCCCTGCTGGTTAACTTTTAAACCAACACATTTTTGGCGTCCAACGTTGGACAGAGAGAGAGAAGTCAGAATCACAATTTCATTTTAAGCATTTGTCTGTTTGGATACAGAAACTCCCTGATCACCATGTTGTTTGATGCATTCACATGGATGTTGTATCTGAGCATGTTCATGTTTCTACAGATGGGGAACTATTTACCTGTTTTGATGTTCTCTTTAAAACCAGGTAGAGGGATCCAAATTGCTTTATTAGTATACTATATTTATGTCGTCATAACATCAGAAGCAATGAGTTTCATTGTAAATGTGTATTCAGTCCTGTTTGCCTGTCCTGGTTTGGGTTACTACCTCTGGGGTCTCATTAAAAATCGCAACCAGCCCTTTGGGGAAACAGGGGGGAATGGTTGTTTCCAACCTCTCACCTCCTTCTTCCCCTTCAGACCTGTTACAACAGTTTTTGAAAGTATTGAGTTCCCTTTTGATGTTAAGGATAGCAGAATGTTATTGTTAGTGTTGCTTTGTCTGCTCTGTACTGTCTACACCATGTTCAGGGTCAGAACAGGGTCTTCTAGGGAGGTTGTTGGGACGCCTGCCATGGGAGTGGATAATACTGAGTGGCACGGGAAGTGGGAGGACATCGACCAGTATTTGGAGAAGTTTTCTCCTCCAATGATCTGGAAATTCACCCCTGAACAACTGCAGGATCCTGTTAGCATGATAAGACTGGTGAAGGGAAAATGCTCTGGGAGTTCCAGAGATGGCCAGCTCACAGCAACCTACTGGGACCTGGCCACTGCCTACTGGACACTACTTGACATGGTACAGCACTGTCAGGGGGAGGAGAGAAGGAGCAAATCCACAGGCACCACGTCCACCCAAACCACAGCTGAGTCAGAGGGAGAAAGAAATAAACCAACCAACACCGTGTCCACACAAACCACTGAGGCGCCAGAAGAACAACCAAAACCAATAGCAGTCGCCCCTGTCCAGAAAAGGAAATCAAAGACTAAATCAGTCCGTATAGCAAATGATGACGAAGAGGCAGGACCTTCACATCCACCGGAGGAGACAGAGCCATAAATAATCACTCGGTCCCTATCCCTGGGTGAGCTACGTGAGCTCCGGAGAGAGTTCACACGACAGGCGAATGAGTCCATTCTGACCTGGCTGCTCCGAATCTGGGATGCCGCAGCTAACGGCACAATTCTAGATGGGAGTGAAGCCAGACAGCTGGGATCCCTGTCTCAAGATGTAGTCATTGATCAGGGGATTGGAAGGAGGCAGGAAACTCTCAACCTCTGGCGGCGACTGTTGTCCAGCGTGAGGGAGAGATACCTTTGTAAGGAGGACCTCCACGTACAGCAACGCTACTTAGCAACGCTGCAATGGAGGGAGGGAGAGGACAAGGTGGGCGCACTGGTTAGTAAACTCAGGATTTATGAAGACACTGTCACCGCCCCATTACGAGTCCACGTCTCATCTGTGGAAACCAAACTGGTCGAACATGTCCAAAGCCTGGAAGAGAAGATTGAAGAGGGACACCAGAAGCTAAGAGAAGAAATTAAGGAAGGGATCTTCCATATCGCACCAGGACAAACAAGAGTCTCTGCTATTAGGAGCCAGTGTCCCCCAGCTAAGGAGAGAGGGCACACTCCATGTGGCAATCTATGGTTTTACCTCTGTGAGCACGGAGAAGATATGAGGAAGTGGGATGGGAAACCCACCTCTTCCTTAGCAGCCCGGGTACGTGAACTGAAAAGAGGAACAAGTACCACAAGGAACTTTTCAAGGGTAAATACTGCTCCAGTCTCTCGTGGGTAAGACTCCAGACGGTACAGGAATGATGATACGTCTGATCCTCTTGAAGGGACCTCCAGGTCATACTCACAAGAAGAGCACAATGAGTACCATGACCAGGACTAGAGGTGCCCTGCCTCTAGCCAGGTA